GGGTTGGCATGTAATAAGACAAAGTATTGATTTTTTTTTTCTCTTTCTTACGGTTTGTGTTGTTGTTATGAATAAGAAACAGGCTCATTATTCCAGCGGATGCAATGTATGTTCTGTATTCTGGATCACGTATGGTTACATGTGAGGGGACATTGGCTGTAAATGTCAAGCTTAATATAGCTCAGTGGTTGTTTAAAGACTAACTTCATCCAAAACTAAAATTTTTCGTGTTATTTTTAACAAGTGAAATTTTGTTTTTGTTTGGTAGTTAGTAGTTAAGTAGGTTTAAAGCCAAAAATCCAGGCAAATAGATTAATACAGTGATGAAAAAGATATAAAAGAACTGTTTTAATAGCCAATTGATTTAAACATCTGTCCATCATGTCCTGAGATTCACACAGCTCTGCCATACAAGCACAGCCCTGTCCAGCAGGGTTTAGTGAGACTTACAAATCTTGCCCCTCCCGCAGCCTAGGATTGGACAGTGAAGGAGAAGCAGCAGACTGATGAGGTCACTCTACTTTCTACTCTTATTAACATGTTCGTTATTTGCACATGAGCACTCACAACTGAGCTCCTTGTGCTGCTTCTCCCTCTTCCAATTTATACTCTGCTGTACAGGGACTGCAACAGGCTGACACCAGTTAAAATTCAGCTTGCATCTAAAAAATAAATAATTCTCAGGCACATTTTGACAATATATAATCTCCTGACTTTTACTTCTGCTGAGATACTATATACACTATATGGCCAAAAGTATTGGGATGCTGTCAGGGCTCCCAGGTGTGACCAGAGGTGTGTGACTGACGCAGGGAAACGCAGACTTCAGATATGTGATAAACAATATAATTTATTAACACTAACCATACAAACATAAACGCAGTGCAATACTAAAACATAATACAGTGCAAACAAACCAAACCAACCACCCACAGATAACAGTACATACAAGCAAGCGTCGTCAGGCAGGCCGGGTCAATATCAATAGGGCAGGTAGGTACAGGGGGAGCAAGCGGAGAAGGGTCGGGGTCACAGGCCAGGTTCAGCAGGTAGCTAGCAGCGTAGTACAGAGGGTCAGGCAGAGGGATGGTCAGGGTCACAAGCCAGGGATCAGAACAGGTAGCAAGCAGCGTGGTACAGAGGGTCAGGCAGAGGGATGGTCAGGAGCGAGCCGGGATCAGAGCAGGAGAAGTCAGCAGCGGTTCAGATCAGGCAGGGTCAGCAAAGGAACAGAAACAGGATGCAGGACAGATACAGGGCCCAGGACAAACACAACACCAAGGCAGAGTCTGCAAGTCTGGCCATCCCTTAAATACACCAGTATCATCAGTTCCAGGTGTTAGCTGGCTGAAAGGTTGAGTCTCTGATTGCTGGGAGCACCCGCTGGCCAGCCCTGGTACTGCAGATCAAAAGGCAGGTGAGTCCCACCATTGCTGGCCAGTCCATTCCTGACAGTACCCCCCCCTCAAGGAGCGGCCTCAGGACGCTCCAAACAGTCCTAGCTGGGCAAAATGTTCCACCGCCCGGGTCTGGTAACTGGCGGGATATCAAAGACTGGCACACCGGGCAGGACTCCGGGCAGCGGCACACCGGCTAGACTCCACGCAGAGGCACATCGGGCTGGACTCCACGCAGAGGCACATCGGGCAGAGGCACACCGGGCTGAGGCACATCGGGCAGAGGCACACCGGGCAGAGGCACATCGGGCTAAACTCCGGGCAGAGGCACATCGGGCTGGACTCCGGGCAGAGGCACATCGGGCAGGACTCCGGGCAGAGGCACATCGGGCAGGACTCCGGGCAGAGGCACATCGGGCAGGACTCTGGGCAGAGGCACATCGGGCAGGACTCCGGGCAGAGGCACATCGGGCAGGACTCCGGGCAGAAGCACATCGGGCAGGACTCCGGGCAGAGGCACATCGGGCAGGACTCCGGGCAGAGGCACATCGGATGACCAGGCGAAGCAGCAGGCAGCGGGCCACCAGGCGGAGCAGCAGGCACCGGGCCCCCGGGCGGAGCAGCGGGCACCGGGCCCCCGGGCGGAGCAGCAGGCACCGGGCCCCGGGCGGAGCAGCAGGCACCGGGCCCCCCGGGCGGAGCAGCAGGCAGCGGGCCCCCGGGCGGGGCAACAGGCACCGGGCCCCCGGGCGGGGCAACAGGCACCGGGCCCCCGGGCTGGACAACAGGCACCGGGCCCCCGGGCGGGGCGACCGGCACCGGGCCCCCGCGGGGCGACCGGCACCGGGCCCCAGGCGGAGCGGCGGGCGCCGGGCCCCCGGGCGGAGCGGCGGGCGCCGGGCCCCCAGGCGGAGCGGCGGGCGCCGGGCCCCCAGGCGGAAGCGGAGCGGCGGGCGCCGGGCCCCCAGGCGGGGCGACAGGCATCGGGCCCCCAGGCGGGACGACAGGCATCGGGCCCCCAGGCGGGACGACAGGCGTCGGGCTCCCAGGCGGGGCAACAGGCGTCGGGCCCCCAGGCAGGGCGACAGGCATCGGGCCCCCAGGCGGGGCGGCGGGCGCCGGACCCCCAGGCGGGGCGACAGGCATCGGGCCCCCAGGCGGGGCGGCGGGCGCCGGACCCCCAGGTGGAGCGACAGGTCTCGGGCCCTCAGGCGGAGCGGCGGGCGCCGGACCCCCAGGTGGAGCGACAGGTCTCGGGCCCTCAGGCGGAGCGGGGCGGGCGCCAGACCCCCAGGTGGAGCGACAGGTCTCGGGCCCTCCTCAGGCGGAGCGGCGGGCGCCGGACCCCCAGGCGGAGCGACAGGTCTCGGGCCCTCAGGGGGAGCGGCGGGCGCCGGACCCCCAGGCGGAGCGACGACAGGTCTCGGGCCCTCAGGCGGAGCGGCGGGCGCCGGACCCCCAGGCGGAGAGACAGGTCTCGGGCCCTCAGGCGGAGCGTCAGGTCTCGGGCCCTCAGGCGGGGCAGCGGGCGCCGGACCCCCAGGCGGAGCGGCGGGCGCCGGACCCCCAGGCGGAGCGACAGGTCTCGGGCCCCCAGGCGAAGCGGCGGGCACAGAGTCACCAGGCACGACAGTGGGCTCCGAGTCAACTGGCATGACCGCTGGCACTGGGTCAGACATTGGATCGTCTGGCTGGACAGCGGGCATCGGGTCACCAGGCATCAGGTCATTTGGCTCGACAGCGGGCACCGCGTCATCTGGCAAGGCAGTGGGCTCCGAGTCAACTGGTATGACCGCGGGCACTGGGTCAGACATTGGATCGTCTGACTGGACAGCGGGCATCGGGTCACCAGGCATCAAGTCATTTGGCTCGACAGCGAGCACCGCGTCATCTGGCAAGGCAGTGGGCTCCGAGTCAACTGGCATGACCGCGGGCACTGGGTCAGACATTGGATCGTCTGACTGGACAGAGGGCATCGGGTCACCAGGCATTTGGCTCGACAGCGGGCATCGACAGCGGGCATCGGGTCACCAGGCATCAAGTCATTTGGCTCGACAGCGAGCACCGCGTCATCTGGCAAGGCAGTGGGCTCCGAGTCAACTGGCACGACAGTGGGCACCGGGTCACCAGGCATTGGATCGTCTGGCTCGACAGCGGGCATCGGGTCACCAGGTATGACAGCGGGCACTGGGTCACCAGGCACCGGATCAGGTACCGGATCATCTGGATCAACAGCGGGCATCGAGTCAACTGGCCTAATAGGATCGTCAGGCTGGATCAGTTCATCATGCTGGGTAGAGGCATCAGGCTGAATGCCGGCGTCCGGCTGAGTAGAGGCTCCAGGCCGAGTAGAGGCTCCAGGCCGAGTAGAGGCTCCAGGCCGAGTAGAGGCATCAGGCCGAGTAGAGGCATCAGGCCGAGTAGAGGCTTCAGGCCGAGTAGAGGCATCAGGCCGAGTAGAGGCATCAGGCCGAGTAGAGGCATCAGGCCGAGTAGAGGCTTCAGGCCGAGGAGAGGCTTCAGGCCGAGGAGAGGCATCAGGCCGAAGAGAGGCATCAGGCCGAGTACAGGCATCAGGCCGAGTAGAGGATTCAGGCTGAGTAGAGGCTTCAGGCTGAACCACGGAAGGCAGGTTCACCGGTTTGGATACTGGCAGGATGGTATTGGTTGGAAAGAATTTTCGCTTTTTTCTGGTTTTAACTACTGGAGCACTGCAAGTAAACGCAGGTCTGCAAACGAATGGAGCAGCTGGAGACAGAGAAGAGAACTGGAGGATGGAACAGGAGAGAGGGAGCAGTTGCTACAGAGGGCTTTTTTACAGGGTTAAAGGCAGGATAGGTGCAGCGAGTGGGAACAGGGTACTGACATGCGGTAGATAGCCAAGTATACTGGGCTGTAACTGGGGGAGTTGTTGGGAATACAGGAGTAGAGCTTTGAGGAAATAGATTAGAAACAGGACTGGGTCTTTGTAAGCTGACTGAGGCTGGGTGCAACAAGTCTGTCCATGTCTGCAGTATGGGTTGAACAAAGCTGAGCTTACACAAAGCCTGTCTGACCAAAGACTGCACTGCGTTTATACAATCTCTTAGTATCTGTGGTGAACATGTGGAATAACGCTCCAGAAAGTAACCCACATCATCCTCTAATAACCACACCAGGACTCTACCTGGTCTGCACTAAATGGTGGCAAAAATTCATCCCTGCATTCGGGGGAACCAGATGAAACCAACTCAACACAAACCTTAATCAATGGCTGCACCATAGAGAAATCTGTGCCCTGATCTACTAGAACATGAGCGAGCCGTATACATTCTAGCAGTTCATCCCGGGTATATTCCTTCAGAGTCTGATAAGCATATTTTCTGTCATCAAGCACTAGCAGAGATAAATACTCAACCTCTTCCAGATCCATCCTTCCCAGCAACAAGCCAAGATGGCTTCCCTGTGCAGCCACTTCTGGTCAGGATTGGCCTTGGTGTAATGTCAGGGCTCCCAGGTGTGACCAGAGGTGTGTGACTGACGCAGGGAAACGCAGACTTCAGATATGTGATAAACAATATAATTTATTAACACTAACCATACAAACATAAACGCAGTGCAATACTAAAACATAATACAGTGCAAACAAACCAAACCAACCACCCACAGATAACAGTACATACAAGCAAGCGTCGTCAGGCAGGCCGGGTCAATATCAATAGGGCAGGTAGGTACAGGGGGAGCAAGCGGAGAAGGGTCGGGGTCACAGGCCAGGTTCAGCAGGTAGCTAGCAGCGTAGTACAGAGGGTCAGGCAGAGGGATGGTCAGGGTCACAAGCCAGGGATCAGAACAGGTAGCAAGCAGCGTGGTACAGAGGGTCAGGCAGAGGGATGGTCAGGAGCGAGCCGGTATCAGAGCAGGAGAAGTCAGCAGCGGTTCAGATCAGGCAGGGTCAGCAAAGGAACAGAAACAGGATGCAGGACTGATACAGGGCCCAGGACAAACACAACACCAAGGCAGAGTCTGCAAGTCTGGCCATCCCTTAAATACACCAGTATCATCAGTTCCAGGTGTTAGCTGGCTGAAAGGTTGAGTCTCTGATTGCTGGGAGCACCCGCTGGCCAGCCCTGGTACTGCAGATCAAAAGGCAGGTGAGTCCCACCATTGCTGGCCAGTCCATTCCTGACAGATGCCTGCTTTTAAATGCACATGAACTTTAATGGCATCCCAGTCTTAGTCCGTAGGGTTCAATATTGAGTTGGCCCCGCCCTTTGCAGCTATAACAGCTGTAACTCTTCTGGGAAGGCTGTCCACAAGGTTTAGGAGGGTGTCTATGGGAATGTTTGACTATTCTTCTAGAAATGTATTTGTGAGGTCAGGCACTGATGTCGGACGAGAAGGTCTGGCTCGCAGTCTCTGCTCTAATTCAACCCAAAGGTGTTCTATCGGGTTGAGGTCATGACTCTGTGCAGGCCAGTCAAGTTCCTTCACCCCAAACTTGCTCATCCCCATGTCTTTATGGACCTTGCTTTGTGCTCTGGTGCGCAGTCATGTTGGAACAGGAAGGGGCCATCCCCAAACTGTTCCCACAAAGTTGGGAGCATGAAATTTTACAAAATGTCTTGGTATGCTGTCGCCTTAAGAGTTCCCTTAACTGGAACTAAGGGGTCAAGTCCAACCCCTGAAAAACAACCCCACACCATAATCCCCCCTCCACCAAGCTTTACACTTGGAACAATGCAGTCAGGTAAGTATCGTTCTCCAAGAAACCGCCAAACCCAGACACGTCCATCAGATTGCCAGACAGAGAAGGGTGATTAGTCACTCCAGAGAACATATCTACAGTGCTCTACAGTCCAGTGGCAGCGTGCTTTACACCACTGCATCCGACGCTTTGCATTGCACTTGGTGATATAAGGCTTGATGCAGCTGCTCACCATGGAAACCCATCCCATAAAGCTCTCTATGCACTGTTGTTGTGCTAATCTGAAGGCCATATTAAGTTTGGAGGTCTTTGACTATTGACTCTGCAAACAGTTGGCAACGTCTGTGCGTCTGTGCATTGTGCACTTCAGCATGTGCTTTATGAATATTTTTGATAACCACTTAAATTGGAAGTAAACCCAATTTTGTGTCTTTTCCTACAGGTAGGCCTTTAATAATGCTGACCTGTAGGTACTATAAATATCTCCTAAACGTGCACTGTTTAGAAGATACTTACCGTCACCGCCAATACTTACTGTCACCGGCACATTGCACATTGCACATTAAAATTCCTGCACATGGCGACATTGCGGCTTGGCCAATCAGATGGCTGCAGCTAGCGAACCCAGAAGGAAGACCAGGTGAAGATGGAAGCCTCAGGGAGCCGTGATGGCACTCCACGGAGGGCCTCGTTTTCAGGTAAGTCTTTCATAATGTGCTAATATGTGCTGCATACTAGTACATTATGTTTAGAGATGAGCGAATCGAACCAGGCGAACCGGAATTCGAGTCGAATTTCAGGAAATATTCGATTCGCGGCGAAACCGAAATTTTGCCTACTTCGGGTGCGCGAATCGAACATTTCCCGATCAGCCGGCAAAAGTGTCCCTGCAGTGAGCTCCGCTATTTCTGACAGTTCTCTGACAGAAGGAACACATGTTTAGCGGTTGAAACATTGTATCTATTAGTTTCCATTTAGGATACAGATGTTTCAACCGCTGTACATGTGAAGAAGCTGT